TAGTATTAGTAATAGTAGTAGTAGTAGTAGTAGCAGCAGCAGCAGCAGCAGCAGCAGCAGAGATAACAGCAGCAGTTGTAAAGGTAGTAGAAGTAGTTTAAACTTGCCTACCTTCTTTGATCTTGGATCGTTCATCCGTTTCAACATCCCTGATTAGAGCCTCAATGGATGGTCCTCCTGTTAATGTTCAATACAACAGTTAAAAGCATCCATACAAAAAACGGTTTTAGATGACATAAAAATCCCAGCCTTTATATTCCATTACCTGTAACAACAAGCTTAACTTTACTGACGATAGCAAGCCCTGTCTTCAACATTAGACTACATTCATACACCCCACTATCTGCATTGGTGACATTGGATATTACCAGAGTAGCAGTGGCCTCTTTCCTAACTCGAGTCGGGTGCAATAACCTCGCTGGGCACTCACTACTGATGGCCCATACCCACGTGCCTTGGTACCTGTGCTCAAATGCTATGCGTTGGTTGCCGTGGTTACTGGTATAGTGACTCCATATTGGTGAGATGTCGCTGAATTCCTTTTCTTTCGCAACCACGTGATAGTCCCATACAAGCTTGGCACTTTTACCAGCACGCATGCGTAGTAGCTTTGGTGGGACCCGAGTAAATCGGGCAGATCCTAGTATTGAAAAGTAAAACGAAAAGGAAAGAAACGAGAGGAAAGGATAAATATTAAGGAGAGGAAGGGGAAAAAATGAAGAAATGAAAATTAATGAAGAAAATATGTCTTATATGGATTCGAGTTAAAAACGTCTGCGCATGCTCGAAGTCTGTATGCAAATTAGTCCAAAACGTCAATATTCTTTTATTTCCATACTAAAAGAAGTTTGAATTTTTGGAGAACGCACTCAAATGCACGCACACGCAAACGATTTTCTCCATGAACCAATATGGGTGTAACTCAAACAAAGAATGTTATTCTCAAGAGAATAACACGTGGTTAACAAACTGCAATATTTACCTTTAACTGTCAGTGCTATCGATGACGTGATCAGCATGTCGGTCCCTAATTCTTGTATCGCTGCAACATAGGTTCTTGTATCCTGGAAGGTTAAATTCACCATCTTGAACCAAGCATGCCCTACACTCAAATCACCAACCCAGCTTAACCTTCCTCTGTATCTCAAAACACTGGTATCCAAATCACTACCAAACACTGGGCCGTAGCCGTGTGACATGTAAGCGAGCTGCGGCTTTAGTTGACCATCTTCTAGCAGGCCAAAACGGATCTCAAGGAATCTGCCATTTGTGATGTTCCACATAAAAACGACGTCTTGTCCGATGGGTCTTGTGATGGACTTCACAGACGTGATAGATAGTTTTTCAGATGATGCTGAAATAATGCGCAAAGCTGAAGAAGCTACATATATTGATCAATATTAAAGACAATTTCCAAGGACAAGGACGAGGTCAACCACGAGGACAAGGACATCCAAAAGGACAACTACAAGGACAAGGACGGGGACAAGGACAGGGAGAAACTATACATAAAAAACGTTGTATCCAAGTTTCCGCTTGTAAAAAAAAAAAAAAAAAAAATTAAAAAGAATTGAACTGACTACGATTAACTAAATGAATCTAGATTGTCAAACTTTACCAGAATGTCCCTTGAAGACTTTGCACAGTAGAACAAAAAACACGATCTTGGACAGCAAAACCATATCAACCATCTCAACAAGTTATTCTTCGAATTCACCTTGCTTGTGAATGAACCTTCGCTGAATCTTAGCTATGCAATCTATATATTGTAATGTAAATAAAGTGTCAATGAAAATCAACTTTGCTAGATATTTTTTCACTTTGCTTTGACGAATGAATGTGGAAGATAGGAAGGCTAGGAAGGATTGGTCGAGTAAACTACGTTACAGTATTGTTTACACTTCGTGGCTAATAACAACGTCATAAAGTTATAGTTCATTGGTGTGTATTTGATAGGTATATTATTCAATGATCATTCATACATACATACATACCTTTTCTATTTCACAAAGCTTTGTCGTGTGATGGTAGGTTGCAGACGCCATCTTGCCACAGTCTTCACCGATTTGATTGCTGACAAACTGCCAAAGAGCTTAAGTTCGCGTTGTTTCGTTAAGTTCGTTTTCTTTTGATATTTTTTCTCTAGTGTTTTCTCAACCTCTATGAAGCTCATTACTATCGTATACTCGAGCACAAATGAATCGAAATTTAGAAGTTGTTCTTTACCGAGAAAACCGGAGAAACACTCATAGCACTATAGAGAACAAACAAACATCTCTGCTTGTATTCGAAGGCGAGTCGAAAGAGTAAAACGACAACTGCTGTGGCGAGAGAATTTGCATCTTACCCCATTGGACTCATGTACTAATCGAAAATAATGCGGCCATCTTTTCAGGGGGCAAAGCAAAACAAAGGTGACGTAAAATATATAGAGTTTCGTGTGTTTGTCTTTCTTTTATGGG